ACATCTCGGCCGTGGCCAATCTGGGGTGTGGCCGAGACATCTCGGCCCTGGCCAATTTGGGGTGTGGCCGAGACATCTCGGCCGTGGCCAATCTGGGGTGTGGCCGAGACATCTCGGCCGTGGCCAATCTGGGGTGACCATGGGCCCGATACTGTCGATACATTTTTTTTTAATTTTTATTTTTTATTTTTTTTTAATCCCCTCCAAGTCTCTGTGCGGCACGGCGCAGCGACCGGAAACACACACACACACACACAACCGCCTTTCCGAACTCCACCCTGACACCACTGCCGGCCTTGAGTTACGAACGCCTTTTTCGAACTCAGCCCCTGACACAGTCGCCAAAGGCCTGTTTTTCGTGCCTTTAGGAACTCAAAACATGCCGCGTCCGCCGTTGTTTCTTGATTGTATCTGCCTTTGAGCTTTGGTGTGCATTTCAACAGTTCATGGGTGTTCTCGTTTACCATTACCTTTGTACTAATGCTTTGCTGTCTTTGTGACAATTGTTTTCAATCTTTTGCTGTTATGGGAACTGCTTCTATTATGTGACAATGTTGTTGCAACTGCAGAAATCCCTGAAGGACAAGAAACAGAGAATAAAGGAGGTGGCAACAACAATTAATGCAATAAAGGTTAGGAGGAACTTCGTATTCACGACTACCACGGTTTGAATTTTTTTACGTCCTCTTTTGCCCAGTGAAAAAGCAACACTTCCAGTACCTGACCAAGTACCAGATGAAAGAAACTGAAGGGATTGAAAGCCCACACCACTCTTGGTTATTAATGCTTATTACCATAAATATATAAAAAGTGCATGGGTCCTGGGGACCATCTCACGCAGATGTGTACATGTCATGCATCATCTTCACACGCAGTGATCAATAGTCTCAACCATAGACAAAGGTAGAGAAGAAGAGGACCGAGTTTCACAGCTTATATTATCAGAAATATGATTACAAAGTGTTTCAAGGTTCCCCTGAGTCCAGCGCTCATCAGCGCAACACAAATCTCTGTTCAACTCATCAATATGCCTTCCAAGGCATCAGCGCTACCCTTGCAGATTGTCTCCCAGTCATCAATATGGTCACAAGTCATCAGCGCCACCTCTGCAGTTCATAACCAACTCAGGTAAGTGTCTCCCATAGCCAAGCCTTGAATGAACACTCTATATCTCAGTCCCTACCTCTGTCGATGCATACACATTCTCTACTCATGAGGATCTACTCTGAATACTACTCATAGCTACATACTAACCCTCTACTACTAATGCTAACTCGCTGGGCAGCTATGGCTGCATCACGTCCAGCGTACAGGCTTCTGCATTCAGCGCATCTTCTACCTCCAGCGCTGTTCCTCCTGACTCAGCGCACAAGTGCACCAGCACTTCCACGCATTGCAGCCAGTGGAGATCTGGCGAGGAATGAGGCTGGCAGCTTTCTTTATAGTGCTGGCCACTCCTCGCTGGGTCTGCATTGGCTCAATTCAGCCT